TGGGTCACTCTTCAGAATACTTGTCCTTTCGAACGGGTTTGAAAACTCCTCCGGATCCTTGATCAGCCCGTGTTGTTTGAATGAGCAAGTGCATTTGCTGCGTCCATGCTGATGAGAGGCGCTACGAGAAAACTTGGCAGAGAAGAACAAGGCACAGGGTAAATAAAAGAGGATCGAACACATGGAAAAGAAATGAAAAGAATGGAAAGATATGGACATGGGACAGATATGGAAAGATATGGCATCGAGTGCCCTGCTGCGAAATTTTTCGTAGCAGCGTAGCATTTGAAGAGAAGCCAGACTTTGAGGAATGTCATGGGAACCGAATGCGAAGCAATGCGAATCGCAGCACATTGGCTGTGAGGCGCGGGAGTCTTTGCTCCGTGATCTCACTATGTGGAAGGCAATGGTCTAAGACGCGTTCAAGATGTGAGATTTCAGAAACATCCGTGGAATTCAAAGATTTTAAACGTTAAACACATGTGTATGTTTTTCTTGTAGTTATAAAATGTTATTTACAACTATATGATATGATAGTAAACAATTGTGATCAATTGTGTAATTATATATGTGCACATGCGATTAGTATATTTTTTTGATCCTGTGTCTCTCAATTTTACACTTCATCTTCGCGGCGTATGCACTGCTACTCGGGCTTGGGTCGCTGCAGACCATAGCAGAGGAAATTTGTTTCACAAGACCTATAGCCTCGTATAGCCCTTGCTGAGGCCCAGCATGAACTCGCCAGCCGCATGAAGGTTCGCAGTTTTATTTATTTTTCTTGCTGGTATTGTGTCTGTGAGAAGTACCTAAGGACTGCCCTGGTTGTTCTTTTTGTCAAAGAAAAAACGTCAAAGGTGCCCCTGATCAGCCACGAAGGAAAACTCCAACTGACAGCTTTGTCACGTCCTGCGTTCACCTGCGACTCGGGCGCCTATCCACGAGGGTGAACCATGGTGAACCTCCAATCTATGTCACACGACAGGCAGATGTGGAAAGAGACTTTGACCATTTCAAGGAGGCAGGGATGGCATTCACAAGTGAGTTCGTAGTGAGGCTTGTGGGGCTGGAGTGTGGATTGCAAGTGACATTTTTGTAAACGCATACGCTTTCTTTCTTGAACAACAGCCAATGCAGTGAGAATTCTCTACCGTCTCCCTTTCTCAACCTCTTGCCAGTACTTTTGCAGGAGATATATATATATATATACGCGTAAGTTGATGTTCATGATTGTTTACGTCATGTATCTGCTTGGAGCACCGTTTGCAGGGTGCAAATGTTATAAATGTTCCTTACCACCCTTTCTTACCTCTTTCCGCGGCCTGTCGACGATTTTTTTCAATACTTACCATTCTTCAACATTGGTTTACTTTTTGCTCTTGTGACACCACAGTGGGAAGCAGAACCTAGTCGCAAGTTCATGCAACCTTTTGGATCCACAGCTGTAATTTTCTGAACTTGGCCTTCTCTGCTGACATTTATTCCTCCGCCATACTCTGCAGGAGTTTTTGGGAAGAAGGCTACCAGAGAAAAGGGATGAGTGGCTTAGCCGCTTTAGCCTTTTCAGTGAGCCATTGGATCTTGGGAGAATTGCAAGTGCAAATTCTTATATTTAAGCGAGTGTAAGCGAGGGGCTTTCTCGTAAAGAACTTGCCATCTCTGCAGTGTCACGAACATCAACGTTCTCCTGAACTTGTCAGGTTTTAAGAGTCTCAGAATCTTCGCGCTAAGGTTTGAGGCTTTGCGGAAGAAGCAGGCAGGAACTGCCAGATTCTAGAGACGACAGAAACAACTTGGAATTGTCAGCCAGAAGTGGTTCACCTTCGGCCTTTTCGGCGTGAATTCTCGTGGCTTCGAACTTGTTGGTGGCTCGAGTGCTTTTCTGCTCTTGGTACATCTTGGTACCAGAGTACCAGGCAGACTTGGAAGCAAAGAAAGCCTCACTCGTAGACGAGGCTTAGCGCAGGATATTTTCATGCTTGAACTGATTAGATGAGCATGAGATAAGCAACTTCTAGGTCAAGGATTGACAGTTTCATGAATTGGTGATTGCTCAAGATCTCTGAAAAAAACATTTGCCAGATCATTTGTTTTTTTGGCCTCAACTGAGGTTTGGTTTTTCTAAGTATCGCATTTCGTTTCGAGAGAGTTTGTGCGAGATCCTTCGGTGCTCGTGGAATTGTGTTATGTTCCGGCGTTGCAGCCGTGCATTGTCCAGGTTCAAAAATTGGAACGTGAAATCCAGGCAGGAATTCTCCAATTCCCGTGAAAGCATTTTAGTTTCTGCAGTTGCATTTGAAAGCTCAGATAGAACATGAAGCAACCTAAGTAGTTGGAAGAGTTAAGACATGATATTTGGATACGATCATTTGCGACAGCCGCACGAACATTCCAAACAGGTCAATTTTTGCTTCCAACCCCAAAGTTCAGAGTTCTCTCTAGACCGCGGCTAATGGGGTCTTCAGCCCAGAATAGCTCTGGTGTGCACTGGTGCAGGCGCCGGGTGAGGTTCAACAAGGTTCCGGAGAAGGTTCCGCAGGTTCCGGAGAAGGTCTGGGAGGCTTCGGTGGGTCAGGCCCTTTGCAACAGGGTTCCGGAGAAGGTTCCGGAGAAGGTTCCAGGAAGCCTTGGTGTCGGAGAGGGTTTGGTGCAGAGCCAGGTCAGGTTCAACAGGGTTCCGGAGAAGGTTCCGGAGAAGATGTGGGAGGCTGCCGGGTCCGGTTCAACAGGGTTCTGGAGAAGATTCCAGAGAAGGTTCCGGGAGGGCTTTGGTGCAGAGCCAGGTCAGGTTCAACAGGGTTCCGGAGAAGGTTCCGGAGAAGGTCTGGGAGGCTTTGGTAGAGCCAGGCCAGGTTCAACAGGATTTGCGGCCATTTAACTCACTGAAACCCAGCTGAGCTGTTTCCAGCGCTTTGCTTCGCAGCACGCTTCAGAAAGATTTGTAAAAATAAACCGTTGCGGCTGTTGGGGATACCACCAAAGCTTATTTGTTGTAGATATTATATATATACATAGATATTGCATGTATGACTTGATTTATATATATATATACATATAATCGATTTATATAATCAATCTAGTTTGATATCGAATGAGTTTCAAGTGAATTCCACAATCTCTTTAAAATACATCGCAGTGACGGACTGTTTTGCAGGCACAAGATGCCCAAGATGCGTCACGCCAGAGTGGTGTGGCAGAGCTCCGCCGGGAGGCGCTTCAGAGTCTTGTTTTTTGGAGATGAGAACACATTCATACAAATTCCATTTGCAAATATGAAAAATGATATATCTACATAAATACGTAAATATACATATATATATACAGAATTATCAAAGGAGGTTAAGAAGTCTATACGTCCGTGCTACGGAGTTTCAAAAGTCACAGCAATGATTGTCCACAGCAATGAGTGTCAACAGCAATGATCGTCCCAGCAATGATGGTCACAGCAATGGTTGTCACTGCAATGTCTATAGGCCATAGGCTGCTTCAATTTTGAATCTTCCGCCCCCAGCGGACCCAGGCACTACTTGTATGTATATATACACAAAATGCAGGTATGCATGCGTGTATGTACGCGTGTATGTATGCATGTAATGTAATGTAATGCAATGTAATGCAATGTAATGCAATGTAATGTAATGTTATGTTATGTTATGTAATATTATGTATGTATTGTATGTATTGCATGTATTGTATGTATTGTATGTATTGCATGTATTGTATGTATTGTATGTATTGTATGTATTGTGTGTATTGTATGTATTGTATGTATTGTATGTGTTGTATCTATTGTATGTATTGTATGTATTGTATGTATTGCATGTATTGTATGTATTGTATGTATTGTATCTATTGTATGTATTGTATGTATTGTATGTATTGTATGAATTGTATGTATTGTATGTATTGCATGTATTGTATGAATTGTATGTATTGTATGTATTGTATGTATTGTATGTATGGTATGTATGTATGTGTATGTAATGAAATGTAATGTAATGTGATGTGATGTAATGTATGGTAATGTCTGTATGTAATGTCTGTATGTATGTAATGTAATGTAATGGTATGGTACGGTATGCCATGCTATGCTTTGGTATGTATGTATGTATATATGCATGTATGTATGTCTGTCTGTCTGCCTGTATGTATGTATGTATGTATGTATCTATTGTATGTAATGTATGTAATGTATGTAATGTATGTAAGTATGTATGTATGTAAGTATGTAAGTATGTAGGTAATGTATGTAATGTATGTAATGTATGTATGAATGTAATGTTATGTATGAATGTAATGTTATGTAATGTTGTGTAATGTTACGTTATGTTATGGTATGTATGTATGTGTGGTATGGTATGGTATGTCATGGCATGGCATGGCATGGCATGGTATGGTATGGTAGGTATGGTATGTATGGCATGTATGCTTTGTGTGGTATGTGTGGTATGTGTGGTATGTATGGTATGTGTGGTATGTATGGTATGTATGGTATGCATGGTATGTATGGTATGTATGGTATGTATGGTATGTATGGCATGTATGGGATGTATGGCATGTCTTGTATGTATGGTATGGTATGTATGGTATGGTATGTATGGTATGGTATGGTATGTATGATATGTATGGTATGTAATGTAATGTAAGGTAATGTAATGTAAGGTAAGGTAATGTAATGTAGGTTAAGGTAATGTAATGCAAGTTCAATGCAATGCAATGTAAGGTAAGGTAATGTAATGCAACGCAATGTAATGTAATGTATGTATGTATGTATGTACGTACATGCACGTATACTCAAGTGCATACATGGAGGTTTGAGTCCTGAGGCAACGTGCTGAGTTTCAAAAAAAAAATCATGGCACCTGCTCCAAGGGTCATGTGTTTTTGTCTGTGGTTCATGGAGGTGCTGGCAGAAGCAGAGCGAACCAAGCGGAATCTGACTGAGGCGGGATCTTTCGCTTCACTTGCCATGGGACCCACGGTTTCCCAATTTTCTTGGAGATTTGCGGGGGCCCGTGGAACCTGTTCAGCTGCTAAGCATGTCATAAGCCAACCAAGCCCCGACAAAAATAGCAGTTGCCAGGTGTGACTACGCAAGGATTACCAATGTTCTCCCCAAAGACCTAGGCAGTTGGACTATGTTGGACCAGTGGAATCTGGATTCCGTTGCCTATGTTACGTTGCGTACATTGGGTACGTTGCGTACTTTGCGTATGTTGCGTATATTGCATGATTTAGATTGCCCTGAAACCATTTTTTGGCAACCGATTCGAGAGGTGGAGTCAGCCTTGGCTGCTGCCAAAGCAGAGGCCACTCAAAAATACAAAGCAGAGGCTATATAGCAAGGCAACGCAAGGCAATGCAAGGCAATGCAAGGCATATAATTTCATCCCGGCACCACAGCAGATCTTGGAAAATCCTTTGTGGGTTGATTCACGACTCCATCGATTCAGTACCAAGTACAGGTAGCCTCGGCTGATGACATGGTGTCAGAATACAGCCGATGAATCCAAAGCTATGGGTTACTGAATGCTGATCCATTGCACGCTGCAATTTATTGAGCTCATACCGCAGAAGGAAAGTTTGCAGCAAATGCCGGCATCCATCATCCTGCGCAAGCATTGAATCCTACTGCGCTATGAGAAGAATTCCCCCAGCAAGGTGGTCCATATTCATCTCTTCTTTGATCCAGCGCAGTCTTAGTGGGAACAAAACAAAGTTTCCGGCATACAGGCAGATACCGGGCCATACCAGTTGCATGAATGTTCATCAAAGATATCCAAGATTCTGTCTGGCTGAGAACACGCACATGCAACTAGACAAATACAAGTTGACAGTTAACAAGTCTACAGTCTACTTGTCAACTAGCTCCTCAGCAAAACATAGAGTTGCTTCAAATATTGGAATAGCTAGATGTACAATCCAAAGAGTGCTTAGGTTTTGGAGTCCACGCAATGTTAGATGTGGATTCCATTCGATCGCAGCAGCACTCTAGGAGAGTAGACAGGGCCTGTGCCTCAGAATCTGGAGACTTTCTTTGTAGGATACCAAGAACATGCACATGGCACAACCAATTCTATTTGATTCTATTTGATTCTATTTGATTTTATTTGATTCTATTTGATTCTATTTGATTCTATTTGATTCTATTTGATTTTATTTGATTCTATTTGATTCTATTTGATTTTATAATTAAGGGCTGCCGCCCCTGCCGCCGACCCCGGAATCAACCACCAGGAGCGCCGTTTTTTTTTCTTTAGCATTTTTCCCGAGAGCGTCTGAGCGCAGGGTTCTTCCAATAGTGGGGGTCTGTATCTCACCTTCTCATCTTCACACCTTCTCATCTTCACATCTACTCATCTTCACATCTGCTCATCTTCACATCTTCTCTCACATCTGCTCATCTTCACATCTGCTCATCTTCACATCTTCTCTCACATCTGCTCATCTTCACATCTGCTCATCTTCATATCTTCTCTCACATCTTCTCTCACATCTTCTCTCACATCTTCTCTCATCTGCTCATCTTTCTTCATATCTTCTCTCACATCTTCTCTCACATCTGCTCATCTTCACATCTGCTCATCTTCACATTTGCTCATCTTCACATCTTCTCTAACATCTTCTCTCACATCTGCTCATCTTCACATCTTCTCTCACATATTCTCTCACATCTTCTCTCACATCTGCTCATCTCCACATCTTCTCTCACATCTGCTCATCTTCACATCTGCTCATCTTCACACCTTCTCTCACATCTTCTCACCTTCACATCTTCTCTCCTTTCTCTCTCCTTTTTCTCTCTCTCGCCTTCTTTATCTTTCTCTCTTTAGGCCGAGGGTGGTATACCGGCGGCGAGTCACGAAACGGCAACCCTTTCGCACGAAATGAGGGTCGATCGGCAAAAACTGAGGTAAAATTGCGATTTGACTTGTGCCGGAGCAACCCTTTCGCACGAAGTGAGGGTCGATCGGCAAAAACTGAGGTAAAATTGCGATTTTTCGTGTGCCGGAGCAACCCTTTCGCACGAAATGAGGGTCGATCGGCAAAAACTGAGGTAAAATTTCGATTTGACTTGTCCTGGAGCAACCCTTTCGCACGAAATGAGGGTCGATCGGCAAAAACTGAGGTAAAATTGCGATTTTTCGTGTGCCGGAGCAACTCTTTCGCACGAAATGAGGGTCGATCGGCAAAAACTGAGGTAAAATTGCGATTTGACTTGCCCCGGAGCAACCCTTTCGCACGAAGTGAGGGTCGATCGGCAAAAACTGAGGTAAAGTTGCGATTTTTCGTGTGCCGGAGCAACCCTTTCGCACGAAATGAGGGTCGATCGGCAAAAACTGAGGTAAAATTGCGATTTTTCGTGTGCTGGAGTAACTTTTTGCGCATATAGTGGTGCCGGGACATCGCTGAATGTGATCTGTCACAGTCATTAGTCATAGTCCTTGAATGCTTTGCAGGTCCGCATTGTTGGTCTGTGCAGCTAGGTTTGCATGGAGTCAGGGCCCTGGGATGGGATGGATTACATGGATAGACAGGCTGCTACCACAAAGAGACAAATCGATATATTTTATATTGAGATAGAGATAGAGATATGATATAAAGATGGATGTATGACTGTTAATATCTAGAGAAGGATGTATGAGTGTTAAGATAAGAGTTTCCATTCCAGTCACAGTCAGGAGTCAGGACCCTAAACCCAAAAAGAACCAACTTATATCATATTGTAATACTGTGTGTGTCTCAGCCCAGAACCGGTCGCCGCCTGCCAGGTCCGCCCGTTTATACTTCTTTTTGGGGAGATGGCAAACCACCTTGGTTGGGGGGCCCCAAAGCACATAGCCCTCATGACATGTTCATGGATGCTGGTTTCGAGTCACATGGAAATAGGACTTCGCCGCACCACCCCATCGGATTGCTGAGGTGGCCACGACAACGATGACTTCGCTGTGAGTACATGGGCCGGCCTGTGTGTAAAAGCGTCTGTGTGTACAAGTGATTGTGTGTAAAAACGCTTGTCTGTAAAACCGTCTAAGTGTAAAAGCGTCTGTGTGTAAAAGTGTTTCTGCGTAAAAGTGTTTGTATGTAAAACCGTCTGTGTGTAAAAGCGTTTGTGTGTAGAAGCTTCTGTGTGTAAAAGCGTCTGCGTGTAAAAGCGTCTGTGTGTAAAAGTGTTTGTGTGTAAAAGTGTTTGTGTGTACAAGTGCCTGTGTGTAAAAGCGTCTATGTGTAAAAGCTTCTGTGTGTACAAGCGTTTGTGTGTAAAAGCAGCTCCTGTGTGTAAAAGGGTCTGTGTGTAAAAGTGTCTGTGTGTAAAGGCTTCTGTGTGTAGAAGTGTCTGTGTAGAAGCGTCTGTGTGTAAAAGCTTCTGTATGTAAAAGCTTCTGTGTGTAAAAGCTTCTGTATGTAAAAGCTTCTGTGTGTAAAAGCTTCTGTGGGTAAAAGCTTTGTGTGTAAAAGCGTCTGTGTAAAAGCGTCTGTGTGGAAAAGTGTTTGCGATGCAAACTATTGTCTTGCACTTCTCGCTATTTTGTCTTGATACTCCTCTTCTCGACTGCCTATAACACAGCTTTCATATATCGTTTCTAAAATTGCGTCTCCATACTAACGAGAGAAGACCCTTCTCCTCTACGCTCTCGGGCCATCCGTCGTCTAGTTTAAATATCAAATCTCAAATCTTGGAACACGAAAAATCACCGCAAACGTTGGAGAGAAACCATGCTGCCCCCGTGTCTGGGTGGATTTTATACGGATTGAAGATATGGCTTGGTACTTAGTGTTTCATACAATTTTTCTTTATGCACCCCCCTGTTGTCAGGATGTCAGGCGACCAAAGGCGCTGACGCACACCTCCACTACGGTGGATCACCAAGGTCACAATTAATCAAACAAGATTGATATAAGTATTGTTCAGTGCTTCGCACTTTCAGGCCTTCGCCTCGTTTTTTTTGATACATAGATTTTTATGACATTTATTTGATAGATATTTTAATTGAATAAATATATTTGATAAATATATATTTGATATAGACTTAAGAAATAGCAAGAACCCCACATACACACACATACACACCCCACCCACCAAACCTCTTTACCCCCCTGTCAGCAGTTCGTCGGCCAACGCGAAACGAGCCAGCGACACGAAGCAATCCTAGCAGACGTTCGCAAGGAGATTCAGAAAATGCACGAAGCTAGACAAAGGTCGACGGGAACAGAAGAAACCAGAACAGGTGTTGCCCATTCATCGACCCAGCAGCTTGCTGTGGGGCCCAACACACCGACGCCGCACGTGTACACATACCTCTGCCCGCACTGCGCCAAATCTGTGCAAAGCACTGTGGCGACAGGGCAAATCGATCACCGCCGTGGTGACGGCTGCGGCAAACTATTTCGCGTTGCGAATGGCGTGCTTGCAGGTCGCACACATGCGCACACATGTCCAACATGCGGCACGGTGGTGCATTCAACAAAAGTTTCCGGCCAAATTCAAATCACGCATCGTACGCCCAACGGAAAGCAGTGTCGCACCGACCGATGGGCCGTGCAGAACTGATCACAAATGGAGGCTTCACCAAACAGCGGAACTCCGAGGGACGGACCGGGACTGCAGGCCACGGCCCCCAGTGCTTAGCGTTGCTTTCAGAACCTACAAGAAAACTAGCTGTCTTAGTTGTCTTCCAGCCGCGAAGGCTCACAAACGGCGCCTTCGCCACACCGAAACAGCAGGGCCCGGAGTCTGTCTTCCAGCCCCGAAGGCTCACAAACGGCGCCTTCGCCACACCGAAACAGCAGGGCCCTGAAGGACGGACCGGGCCTGCGGGCCACGGCCCCCAGTGCCTAACGTCACTTTCTGAACCTACAAGAAAACAAGCTGTCTGAGCAGTCTTCCAGCCGCCAAAAGCTTCACAAACGGCGCCTCCGCCACACCAAAACAGCAGGGCCCTGAGGGACGGACCGGGCCTGCGGGCCACGGCCCCCAGTGCCTAACGCCACTTTCTGAACCTACAAGAAAACTATAGCTGTCTGACCCAAAACGGCGCCTGCGCCACAGCCAAACAGCAGGGCCCTGAGGGACGGACCGGGTCTGCGGGCCATGGCCCCCACTGCCTAACGTTGCTCTCTGAACTTACAAGAAAATTAGCTGTGTGATCCAAAACGGCGCCTGCGCCCCTGAAATACGGAGTGGGCCTGCGGGCCACGGCCCCCACTGCTTGGAATCTCTTCTCTGACGCGCTCCCCCTGCTGTCGGCAGGGGTCGGCGGATTTGATTCTATTTGATTCTATCTAATTCTATGTGATTTTATTTGATTCTATCTGATTCCAATTGATTCTATTTGATTCTATTTGATTCTATTCGATTCTATTTGATTCCATTTGATTCCATTTGATTCTATTTGATTCTATTTGATTCTATTCGATTCTATTTGATTCTATTTGATTTTATTTGATTCTATTTGATTCTATTTGATTCTATTTGATTCTATTTGATTTTATTTGATTCTATTTGATTCTATTTGATTCTATTTGATTATATTTGATTTTATTTGATTCTATTTGATTCTATTTGATTCGTAAAGTAAATCACATTTACGCATGACAATGAAGGAGCAGGCTAGGAGGTGGTGGTCCATCTCAAATATGCCATTTTGGCTGCAAGACCCCCCGGTATGCAGGCCAAAGGGAGTTTTTCTTCTTAGGCACTTAGGAGATGTCCGCGAGTGCCCTGCCTTTGGCCAATGATTTGCGGGGGGCTACAACTGTGGACGACATCCTGCAGTTGCTCTTCGTCCCTGAGCCGTTATGGCAATCCTTTGTGGCTCAGGTGGGGGATCCAGGTGTTCACGTCAGGATCCTGGCGGCCCTTCCACAGGCCGTGGTGGTTCAAGGGTGTGTCCAAGGTACCCTGCCCACTGGAGAACAATTTTCTGCCATTCAGGCCACTCATGTGGGACTGGTTTGGCGGACATGCAGGAAACTGGTGCACCTATGGGCCGGACTTCCTGAAGGAGAATTTGTGGACATAGATCCTTGGGGAACAGAACCGGTGTACGAGCTGAAGGAGCCTAGGACTACGGGGACGGCAGCAGCCACGTCCGTCAAGGAGAGAATCCTCAAGATGTCAAACGTGGTGGACCAGGCGGATGACTCGGAGCTCACCTTAGCATCGAGGATGGAGATCGACCGTTGGTCAAACTGCTATGTGGCTGTGATGGGGGCCCCGCCATTGGAGGAAGAGGAGCCGAACGAGGCCCAGTTGTCAGCCCTGAACCGCAGGGTCAATGTGCTGAAGCAGCCACCCTATGCTGACTTTGGGGTGTGGCTGCCTTTCGCACGTAGGACCCAGAAGGCACAGAAGTTTCGCGCTTTCATGCCAGTGGGGGATGGCTCCTACGTGGTGAGAGAGATGCCCGGGCCGCAGAACATGATCCAATGGCTGACGTCATGGAAGGTCTACAAGGTGGCCCTCATCATGCTGGACATAGCTTCATTGGCATCACTGCAGCTCTACGAGAAGATGATGGAGCGACTGGTGATGCAGTGGCCAAAGTGTTGGCACCTGATAGTCATGGCAGATGACAAGGGGCGAGCTGAGCGCCTTGAGAAGTTGCGTAGAAAGTTTTTGATGGATGAAGATGCGGGCAGACAGGTGCCTATGGATTGGAACAAGGAGAAGCCGTGGACAGCCTGCTTCAGAGCACTAGCTTTGGACAATGAATATTGGGATGAACAAGTTCGTCATCCAGCAGCAGCTTGGCTGGTGAGCGGCGGACGAGGTGTAGCTTTGGCCCCCGCTGAGCAGGTGGCATTATCCCACTTGCCGGGGGGATTGGATGCCCTGGAGGTGGACAAAGAAGATGGTGGAGAACCCAGTCGCAAGCAGTCAAACAGGGACAAGAGGATTGCTCGATCCAAACGGATTAGGGCAGAAAGGGACGAGCTGGATAAGCTGCGCAAGTTGAATCATGGTGGACAAGCCGCAGGCTCGGCCAAATCCAAAGGGAAGGGCAAGAGCAAAGACCGGGCAGGTCAGCAGATCTGCTACTCGTTTGCGAGCGGCACAGGCCCCTGCGGAACCGTAGAGCCTGGTGCTGCTTGTGTGCAGTCTCAGAAGAGAGCCCATAAGTGGCAGTATTGCCTTTCCCCAGGTCACCGAAATAGTGACTGTCCGAAAAAGGCTTGAGGGGCGAAGGGAAGCCTGACTGGCTTTCACCCACAGCCTGCCCCAAGGATGGGCGTGGTTTCGGAGAAAAATGAAGATTGGGGGAAAGGATGTTCGGTGCTGAGTTTATTTGGGTTGTCTTTTTATTTATTTTAATTTAAATTGAGTGCATGTTGATTAAGTTGAAGTTTATGCTGTCTGCAGCTGAAGCGATGGTGCTCAGCAGCAGTAGTGAGGAACCCTCCCCTGAAATAGGGGGAGATGACCTCGGAGGTGATGCCGGAAGCCATGTGGCGACTGAGGCCAACGCGATACCGGTGGGAAACCCTGTGGCAGCGACAGAGGCGAGCAAGATGGGGGCAAACACCTGCGCCTGGCTGCCAGAGAGGGTGTCGCTGGCTTTGACAGCCTCAGCCGACTTCGCGGAGTTCAAGAAGAAACGGATCTTCACCTTTGTGCACTTTTTCTCAGGCAAGGAAGATGTGCTGAGCAGTGCCATCAGCAGACTAGCGGGGCTGGACGGCATTTCAGTCAAGTGCTACTCGCTGGACCTGGAGAACGATCCACCGGCGGACTTCTTGAAGGAGCAGCCTTATGGTGACCTGCTGGATAGCTGCAGGAATGGGGAAGTGGATGCTGGGCATGGAGGCCCACCATGTGGGTCCTTTTCAATGGTGAGACACCGTCCAGGTGGTCCACCACCGGTCAGGAACCTGGAATGGATCTATGGGTTGCCATCGAACTCGGTCCAGCAGCAGGATGAAGCCGACCGTGGTTCGGTTTTAGCCATCAGGACCACACAGATGCTGGGCGAGATCATACAGTCTCAACGGAGACGAAAGGTGCCCGAAGCTGCCACTCTGGAGAACCCTCCAGGCTCGGAGTCGCAAACGGAGGGGTCTATGTGGGCGCTCCCAGAAACGGCCGACTTCATGGAGAGGTTCGACTGTGCAAAGGCCTGGTTCAACACATGCGCCTACCAGCAGAAGGAGCGGGTGAGATGGTGGAAACCTGCTCAGTTTGGAGGCAGGTTGAACGGACTGGAATCCCTCAGGAGGAAATGCTCTTGCCCGAGGGATTTTCAACATGAGCCGCTCCTGGGCAAGAAGAAGACTTCGGAGGCAGCCAAGTATGACTTGGCGTTGGAATACGCCAGGCTCGTCATCCAGGTGTTCAGGACCACCTTGAACCTGGAGTGGTGGCGGCACTTGGAAAAGGCCAGGCGCACAGAGCTCACCCAGCTGCAGAAGAGTTGGATCAAGTCCAAGGAGAAGCACACGGGTCCAGTCATTGCCGATGAAGTCATGCGAAGGATGAGGAACAACAAAAGGTCCTTTGGAGCGGAGGACGTGATGAAGGACCACCTCCCACAGCAGAACGTGGAGAACAAGAAGGCGAGGAAGGAGTTCCAGAACCAGTACTTCATTGGGGGCATGCGAAACCCAGGCATCTCGGTCAAACGTCTGGGAGTCCTCAGAGAAGCAGGGCAAGACATCCTGCGCTTGTGGAACACGTTCCTCAAAGATCATCCAGGGGCGTTGGAGGCGGCCAGGAATTATGGCACAGACCGGTGCCAGCTGAACGATCTGGTGGCAAATGAATGGTCCCTGCAACTGGGCCGGCTGCTGAAGGTGGAGCCGAGCACCGCCGTCAAGCTGAAGGGCATGTACGGTTTTGAATCCCCCTTGAATGCCCCGATGTGGAAAGCTTGGCAGAAGTTTGCCAAGGACCCGGATGAGCACATCCATGAGTGGGCCGTCACAGGGGCTCCGCTGGGGATGAACACGGAGATACCCAGCTCGGGGGGGCATCTTCCCGCCGGTGGAGGAAGAGAGCGAGCAAGCTCAAGTGGCACCGGAGTTGGAAGTTCAATTGGGAATGGGCAATTACAAGTCCATGCAGGATGACTATGAGGGTGCCAGGCAAGAGCTTGATCGGCTGGTTGATCGAGGTTTCGCCGCCTACTTGAAGAAGGACGAAGCCAGGCAAAACTTTTACAGGGCAACACTGAGCAGGTTGGCCTTGATTACGAAGATCAAGGACTCTGGGGCAAAGAAGCTCAGGGTCATCATTGACCTCCTCCGCTCGGGGGGGAATGGCAGGGCAAGGGTGCCTGAGAGGATCATCTTGCCGCGCATCTCAGACGTGGTCGCCTCGCTGAGGGAGCTCTACAAGAAAAGGGCCATGCACGACACAGTGGGCGACTGGGAAATGGAGCTCATCGGCGCGGACCTGGCGGACGCCTACATGCACTTTGGAGTACATCCTGACGAGCTCCAAAACTGCCTCGCCCCAGGGCTGGACGAGGATGAGCTGGTCCTTTTCAAGGCGATGAGCTTTGGCTTCAAGGGTGCACCGCTGGTGATGGGCCGTTTGTCCTCGGCGGCCATGAGGCTGTTTCAAGCCATGATGCCAGAGGCGCAAGGCCAGATACAGTGCTACATGGATGACCCCCTCCTCATGCTGCAGGGCACTGTTGGCGATGGTGCTGTACACAGCCAACGCCTTTGGACTTCAGCTTTCGTACTCGATGGCCGAAAGAGGCATCAGGCTGTCCTGGATAGGGGTGACGATAGAGGTCGACGAGCAGAACAAGGTGATCATCTTGAGCCCGCCGGACAAGCTCATCGAGGACGTCAACGTCAGACTCCAGACGTGGGAGGGCATGATGAGCCTCAGGTCCTTGAAGTCCACCACGGGCAAACTGAGTTGGATCGCGGGAATCATTCCGCGCAGCAGATGGGCGGTGTCGGTGCTCTATGGGGTCATCGCAGACCATGAGCGGGACGTGGCCTCAGGTGCGGAAGCCCGTCGTGCAGCCAACAGGGAGGACCCCAGGGACAAGTCAGGCATGGTTCATGCCAAACGTGTTCTCCTCGCCAAAGAATGGCTACTGAAGATGCTGGACACGAAGGAGATTTGGAAGACCAGGAGGGTGCCGTTGGAGGAGGTGCCCCCAAGGTTTGCCATCACCACGGATGCTTCACCGTTGGGGGTGGGGGCAATTCTTTCTGTGGTCGACGCCCTGACGGAGCAGCTCACACCGTTGGCGGCCATCAAAGGCAAGGTCACGAAGAACGTGGCCAAATCGCTTGGGGTCCCCTTCAACGACCCTGCAGGGCAAGCGGTGCTGGAGGCTTGGACCGTCCTTTTGGCCATCAGGTACTGGGCCTTCAAATTGAGAGACCAGAAAGCCTTATTGAAGGCGGATTCGATGGTGGCTCTCGCCATCTCGAAGAAGCTAGCTTCTTCTACCCCCACGTTGAATTGGGTGGGAGCAGAGCTCAGCTTGACCATGGAGGCCCAGAACATGGGGGAGCTCACGGTGCACCACTTGCCGGGCAAGCTCAACGTGTCGGCGGACCACTTGTCGAGGCCGGACAAGGAGGGACCAGTGCCTGATTTAGAAGGGATCCAGGTCCGGGTAATGAATGAAGCCTGGATGCTGGATTCTCGGTTGCCCCCCCCGGGGGTGCATCCGGAACTTTGGGGAAAGTCCCCCAACCTCCTGCCACTCTTTGATGGCTTGTGAGGACCTCAGCTTTGAAAAAGTGGGCTTCGCGCCGCTTAAGCTGGGGGGAAGGTTTAAGAAGTTTGAAGTTGGGGGGGGACATCCCCCCGCCCTCCTTTGTCAGATGAGGCTTGTTGAAAGGTTGTTTTAATTGTAAATTTATTGGCTCACAGCCCCTGTCTCCAGCGGAGATGGAGTTAGTTCCGGCCGCAGAGATAGACGACGACACCACGCTGTCGTGGTCCCAACTGGCATGGCTGGGTCTATGCTGGCTTTGTTGCTGCGGGGCCGGAATGGCACTGTGGCGATGCAGCCGCATCCTGGTGGCGCGGTGTCACACCATATGGCTGGAAGTGGCGCCCAAGATGAAGGTGGAGGGCCGAGTGGACAAGGACCTTCCCACTTTGGTGAAGGACCAGGGATCCCAAACAGAACAGGGGATTTGCGCTGCCTCCTCCCCAAAAACCGGACCTTTGGCCACCCCAACCAAATCGACAATGTTGGGCACTCCGAGAAGGGGACAGCAGAAAGATATCCTCTTGGACATGGCCAGACGGGCTCAGCCGGTGATTCGGGAGGTGGAGGCTCGAAAACACTGGTCGGTGCAGAACGCCTGGTTGGAGTCTCAAGAGGAAAGATGCTGACATCATCCCTGGGAAAAGGGCTACTTCAGCAAGGGCATGTCAATGGGAGGGGCCTTAATGCAGAGCCCCTGCTGGCTTTGGTAAGGCCGAAGCCGGGTGGTGAACTTCCTGAAGGTCCAGTGGAAGTGAACCAGAACCATGGCCAAGCCAAGAGAGGTGGCTCAGTAGCTGAAGCTATCCGCATCTCCAGAATGGGGTCCTTTCAAAGAAGGGTAGCCGCGTTCAGGGGCAAATTCTTCGCAGCCACCTCTGCCAGGGCCCGAGACTCAAAAAGGGCGGAGATCATCAAGCTGGCCAAGGCGGTGAGAGGGTCAAACGAGATCCTGCCATTGAACAAAACCTTGGTCGAAGGTGTCGCCGCCGCTTTGAAGGAGTCGGGCATGAAATCAGGGCCCCAGTACTTGGTAGAGCTGAAGTTGATGCACGTGGAGGCGGGCTATGAAGTGGAGGCCTGGCTCAAGAGAACGCTGGACCTCTGCAAGAAGGCCCTGGAGAGGTCGAGGGGGCCAGTAAACCGAGCCGCTGAAGTAAGGGTGGCCCTTTGGAAGTTGGAGGAGCTAGAGGCGAACGCCTTGGGCAGGGGGATTCCTCATCACCCCAGGCTCGCCTTTGCATGGGCGACCGTTTGGATGCTGAGAGAGATTGAGCTGTGCAGGATGAAGATCAGAGATGTGACCTTCCCGGACCCCGACAGATGGATCACCATCTGGCTCCCAGTGTCCAAAACGGACCAACAAGGGAAAGGTGTCAGACGCACCTTGAGATGCTGCGGAAAACAGCCATGTGTGGCCCTATGTCCATGGGCCTTGGGCTGGAAAGCGATTGAAGCAGCACGATCCAGAGGAGCTCTTCCTGGATCGCCTCTCTTCTCTCCGGCCGGCAAGTTGAAGGAGATCACCAAGTCAGGCACCATTAAAGCCTGGAAGGCTCACCTGGGGCCTGAAGTGACGGGACACAGTCCCAGAAGGTCTGGTGCGATGTACTATGTGAGAGCTGGATTACCGATCCAGGAATTAGCCTTTTTGGGGAGGTGAAAATCGAACATCGTGCTGTCTTACGCAGAGGAGGCGCTTCAAGAAAGAGCAATGTTCGTGCCAGACTTCCATGGTGAGAACATCACAGCCAGTGGAAGCTCCCCTCAACCACCAGACCCACCGAAGGGCGAAGATTCAGAAGCACCAAGAGCTCCGTCTACCCCTGCCTGGACGGTGATGAGAATGGGCGAGGACCAAATTGAACCCTGTCTGGGTCTTGCTCAGTCGTTGAAATCCCCCAGAGACTTGTGGGTAGTAACGAAAGGGAGAGGATGGAGAGGCCGCCCCAGACATTTGGTGCTGAAGGCATCTTGGAACCTACCGATGTCGGAATGGACGACTGCATGCGGGTGGAATTTCGCACAGCGGTCGTCTGACTATTATTTCGTGTCGGGTGCTGTCACGGACAAGCTGAAGTGCACAAAATGTGACGGTTTGAAAAAGAGCGCGACAAGTCAGATGGGCCAGGAAATGCGCTCTGAATCCAAAGAGGATCAGGTCATGGTCGAGACTGATAAGGTTTCGACCAGAACAAAGAGGCGCAGGACATGACCTCACCAACCTGACAAAAGAGCCTCTACTTGGAGGGTGGGAGGGTCAGCAAGTCTGCGCTGAGAATTGTCGTAAAGTAAATCACATTTACGCATGACAATGAAGAAGCAGGCTAGGAGGTGGTGGTCCATCTCAATTTAAATATGCCATTTTGGCTGCAAGACCCCCCGGTATGCAGGCCAAAGGGAGTTTTTCTTCTCCCACCCACCCACACCTGTTGGGTCGGATAATTCATGTGATAGGGCCAGGAAATGCGCTCTGAATCCAAAGAGGATCAGGTCATGGTCGAGACTGATAAGGTTTCGACCAGAACAAAGAGGCGCAGGACATGACCTCACCAACCTGACAAAAGAGCCTCTACTTGGAGGGTGGGAGGGTCAGCAAGTCTGCGCTGAGAACTGTCTATTTGATTCTGTTTGATTTTATTTGATTCTATTTGATTCTATTTGATTTTATTTGATTCTATTTGATTCCATTTGATTCCATTTGATTCTATTTGATTTTATTTGATTCTATTTGATTCTATTTGATTCTATCTGATTCCATCTGATTCTATTTGATTCTATTTGATTCTATTTGATTCTTTTTGATTCTATCTGATTCCATCTGATTCTATTTGATTTTATTTGATTCTATCTGATTCCATCTGATTCTATTTGATTCTATTTGATTTTATTTGACTCTATTTGATTCTATCTGATTCCATATGATTCTATTTGATTCTATCTGATTCTATCCTGTATGGATGCACTGTAGCCATGCGATCTCTTGTAGCCTCCCCTTGCATTTATGTCGATTCTATGTTCAAGCGCAGGAGCCGAAACTTTTTCGAAGTTTCGAAGGTGATTCGTGGAGAGGACAGTGATGAATGTCCTTGATGTCTCGATCTTCACTCACATGGCGGCCACAGGCGACGTCTAAACATTCCCAAACTCAATCCTGACAAAATCAATGGCAAGTGAATCTTCAGTGACCCCAAGTGCTTCCGAGTGTGTTTTCCGATGGCTTCGATCAAGTTTCACTCCTTTCGTCAGCTCGTGTTCTTCAGAATCATTGTATTTGCAGCTTTCTGAACTATGGTCTCCAACAGGCCAAAGTTCTGACAGAAGAGGAACATGTTTGCACCAAAATAGTTCAGACTCTCAAATCGTCATCCAGTGTTATCTCTTGATACTTGTCGCCCTCCCTCCTTTAGGCGAGTCTGCAGATGCCTATGGTTGGCAGCGCAGTGAATGGCGGACATCGAGAGAGTGCAGTACTGGGGCCGCAGACACATCGTTTGCCGTGGCAGGTGATGTGGGGTGTCCTGGCTTGAATTGGGCAATGAGTGATGACAGGTATAGAACGCATTGCTCAGAAGCAAATGTCTCTCAGATGGTTGAATTGATGGCTCCAAGCTGCCAATCACTGAATCACTGCAGGCCCCCAACGAACGAAACATAAGAACAAAGGACTCCTTTCTTTTCATCTGCTGTTTTGTTGCTTGGATCTGGCCTGCTATGTTGAAAGTTGAGAGTTTTTGGGAGAAACAATGCAAATCGACAAGTATGGCATTGTATCGTATTGAATATAGATTAATATGGTATTGCAGTTGCATGATGGAGATCGGGGCAGGTGTCACAATGCTCACAGCCCTGGTGGTGGCATTGATGAACTTCGGCACCTGGGCTGTGGCATTGGTGGTGGCTATGGCAAAGTGAGGGAGTTCCAGCTGCAAAATGCCTGCGCAGTTGGCAGATGGGGAGGATGTCCACATAGGATGTGATGAGAATGATTGGAAAAATGTAGAGGAATGATGGGATAGAAATGCCGGGACCATTCGTATTCTGAAAGTGAACCAAAGTGCAAGCAAGCTCTCTGGTATAGTTGCTGCTTCGAAGCGTCCAGAAACAAGGCTTAAAAAGAATCGAATCATTTTGCCCCGCTTGAATGTGCTTTATGCCAACAAGGCATGATCTTGGCTATCCAATGGTTGGTGAGATTCAAGTTCCACACCATGCAGTCTGCTATACAGCAAGCAGGTGCTTGAAACTGATCATATGCCGGGAACCACGTGCATACTGTGCGTTGAACAAACGTGAATGCGTTTAAAGGTGTTCATATGACGACATTCGTCACTCTAAATCTGTTTCGCTTCAGGCTCTTGTCCTAGTTGTAAGAGAAGTGTATTTTTTAAACATCTACAGTATTTCTTTTTGATATACATGCGCTGTGCAACTTTAGTGAAGAGTCCACCGTGTGTTCCTCCGAAGAGGTGTGCTTCATGGCATTGTGGTTTTGATGCTCCTGTCTACGATCTATGCTCTTGTAGGAGTTTGCCTCATACAGCTACTTGGCATGATTGAAAATCTTGACAGGCCCATGGACACATCATGACCTCGGCACCAAGTCAGGACGATGGAAAGAAGGGAGAGCCAAGCGACACCGAACGCTTGGAATGACGAGACCAATGAACAGAAATGAACAGAATGAATAGACATGAATAGAAATGAACACAAAATTTGAATGACTGAATGATTTCAAATGTCATTATTTGGTCGTGACTTGGGTGACTTTGTTCTCAGTCGGGGCAAGACCGAGGTTTTTGGCTCCGAGCTGCGGTGGCTCGGGCATCCCTGAGAACAAAGCCTTTCTCAACGGGGCCCAAATGCCAAATCTCTACAGCGCCTTGGCCGCCTTGGCCGCCTTTGCTCTTGCACGTCCTTGGAAAAGACAACCAGTCATATTCAGAAAACATTCACTCATACCCGCTCATATTCACTATTCGGACGTTTTGCAGAAGTGTAAGTCTTTTTGGACATCTGAAGCGACAGCACGAGATGCGAGGTCAACGAACTTTATCCGTCCGTGCGTGCACCAATGTCCTGGCCAATGCTGCCGGCTTCCCAGTGGGTCGAGAAGGCCCAATGGTTACCATTGGCAGCAATCTCGCCTTTCTTTTTTGCCCTTTGGCTGAGCATTTGGCCGCACATGATTGCGATATACTGCAATGAGCATGTGGGCCACAAGATCCAAACAAGATCCAATACAGGTTGACAAAGAGACTGCCTGCTTGGTGCCTACAGATTAATGTTGACCATAGCTGCCATAGCTACTTACTCGTACCTGATGCAGCAAGAGAGTGTATCACACCACCTTGATGAACCCCAGGGTTGATGCAAGAACAGGTGCCACAGAGATGTGCACATCGACATCCTCTATACCTATCCAAATTTGTTGTATTTGTATACATTTGTTATGTCTGCATGTGTTACATGTGTTGCGTGTTGCATGTGTTGCATGTATTGCATCGCATTGACATCGTCACTTCGTCGTATCTGACTTCGCTGACTTCGGTGTCTTTCGTTCCCATTTCGTTCCCACATCCTCCTCCTGAGGTGAGCGCTTTGTGCAGCCGTTCGTGAGGGAATGGGACTCTCGGTTTGTGAAGCGCTTTGGCATCTTTTTGGCATCTAATTTTAAGCATCTGGTTGTAAGTCAGAAGATGTCTGAAGCCGTTTGGAGATTTTGGTCACCTGGAATCTCACCAGTCATTTTGCCGTGAAGTTGCTGCGGGGCTGCTTTTTTGAACGGGCTTATAATGAATTTGACGCAGAGGACATGACTTATCACGGCAAACATTTTTTTCTATCACAAGACTTATTTTGGCTCTGGAAATTGAGTATTCAGAAGCTTTCCATGTTCTTCCTTGTGCTATGAGTATGGAGAGTGTGTAGGTCAGTGTCTCTGGTAGCAATGCTGCTCCAGCTGTATTGGTGGACGAACAGCGACTTGCCCATGCGACTCGCATCTCTTGTGCTCCGCCATCTTTTGAAACATATCATTTCAAAGCGTTGGGACAAGTGGTTTCAGCTTTCAGCGAACAGGTTCAAGCAGATCTCATCATACTGCAAACTTACCTACTTGAGTTTCCTATCGCAGAGAAGAAAGTCTGAAGTAAGAAGTGGAAAACTGGATAACTGTTTGGACTTGAACAATGCTGCAAGAAGGGAAGCTTTCATGTGAGGACTATGTTTATGTATATCATGTCATTCTTGTAGGTACCGTGGGAGGTGCTTGTGCCATTGCGGTCATCTTCAATGCCCCCTTTGGGGGCCTGCTGTACATGTTCGAGGAGTGATGAGCTTTCTGTAGTAGTAGAATTAAATCCTGCAACAGAGATCAAAGTAAGCCAAAAGGCCAAAGGCACTCAACTTCATCTTCCCGTCTGTGAGGGTCTGTGCTGGCAAAGCCGAGAGATTTCATCTTCACTGCCACCTTTTCAAGCATGCAAGCATACAGACTATCCCACAGGAGGTGACATCCTTGGCGTGGCATGTTGAGCTCACCTTCCGCGTTTTCGTTGCCACGATGTTTTGCGCCTTGTTAAAATGAAGTGGGTGGGGCCAGTAAGTGTCAGAGGATTCAATGTCGCCTCTTTTTTTGTTTGCAGGTATTTGCAAGTGCATGCTTTTGCAAGTGCTAGTTTTCACGCTTAGCTAAACACACCCTGCAGTGCAGGCTCTTTGCTATGCTATGGCTTATGCTATTTGCTTGGCTCAGACATCACGGAGTTCGTGATCTACGCAGAAACGCCGCAGAACAAAAAGTGGAATTGGGGCCACCTGGGCTGCAACCGATCATAGCTATTGGCGTCTTGATGGTATCTACGAAATTTCAAGTGCCCTGAACACAACAAGTCCTGGCCCCTTGACAACCGCGTCCTAAACCAAAACACGAAACTCTCCAAACACCACAGCTCCAATTGACGCCGGCCAGCAGCCGGTCTTTTCAGCCACGAATGCTTGGAACATTTAAAGGGCTTCGGCGACCCTTCGAATTTCACCTGGGCAGCAAATGTCAGTTGACATGCATGCTGTTGGAAAATCGAAAAAAATGAAAATGTATGGGGTTGAATGCAGTTTCGCACTCCCCCTAGGTTCTGTGATGCTTCACAGAACCTATCTGGATTTCAGCTCAAGCCCTTTCTTTGTGGTGGCGGAGCATTCTTGTAAATCACAGGCCATACATGCAGATTGCGCATGGCTCATACTTTCTAACTTCACCACGATTTGATCGTGAAACGCGCGCGTGCTGGTGATCGCAGTGCAAGGGTTGATCAGGACCAAATCCATACGGTGCACAGTATGTGCGCTTCTCAATCCTCTGCACCCAGTGTCACAGTGAAACCTTTGGCCATTTGGAGTGGCAAAAAGAGGATGGCGCTCGAAGAGCCGGCAGGAGCACTCGTAGATCCAGCGGCGGTGCTCGAAGAGCGACCAGCGCATGAGGGGTCGGCAGCACTCGTAGATCCAGCGGCAGTGTTCGAAGAGCGACCAGCGCATGCGGGGTCGGCCGCAGCGCTCGAAGAGCCAGCAGCGTCCAGCAGCCATAGACGAACTCCGGGACCCACCACTTCTCCTTGGTAGCAGAACACCGCTTGTGTTTTCTCCGTGTCGATTTTCAGGTGGTACTGAATAGAAAAGAAAGCTCGGCCTTGGAACCACATTCGTTCCTGACTCAACCAATGTGACTCGGCTGATGTACGGATAAATGGCAAACCAAGCAAGTACAGCTCCAGTCAGCAGTCCAAACGCAAAAACCATGAGGATGATGAAAAAGAATGGTGGTCCACTGGATGGATCGCTGAAAGTTTGCAGTGGAAAACTCGGCTGCCAAAGCTGAATCTGATCATCAGTCTGTCCCTTTGGCGATAGCCATCTGGGCAACCAAAATGATCGCTTTCAGTGCTTTCAGTGCTTTCAGTGCTTTCAGTGCATTCAGTGCTTTCAGTGCTTCATTGCCTACTACTCCTACTACTCCTACTGCTCCTACTACTCCTACTACTCCTACTACTCTCACTACTCCTACTACGACGACGACGACGACTACTACTACTACTATTACTACTGCTACTACTACTACTACTACTACTACTACTACTACTACTACTACTACTACTACCTACTACTACCTACTACTACCTACTACTACTACTACTACTACCTACTACTACCTACTACTACTACTACTACTAATACTACTACTACTACTACCTACTACCACCTACTACCACCTACTACTACCTACTACTACCTACTACTACCTACTACTACCTACTACTACCTACTACTACCTACTACTACCTACTACTACCTACTACTACCTACTACTACCTACTACTACCTACTACTACCTACTACTACCTACTACTACCTACTACCACCTACTACCACCTACTACCACCTACTACTACCTACTACTACCTACTACTACCTACTACTACCTACTACTACCTACTACTACCTACTACTACCTACTACTACCTACTACTTCCTACTACCTACTACTACCTACTACTACCTACTACTACCTACTACTACCTACTACTACCTACTACTACCTACTACTACCTACTACTACCTACCACTACCTACCACTACCTACCACTACCTACCACTACCTACCACTACCTACCACTACCTACCACTACCTACCACTACCTACCACTACTACGACGACTACTACTACTACTACTACAACTACTACCTACTACCTACTACCTACTACCTACTACCTACTACCTACTACCTACTACCTACTACCTACTACCTACTACCTACTACCTACTACCTACTACCTACTACCTACTACCTACTACCTACTACCTACTACTAACTACCTACTACTAACTACCTACTACTAACTACCTATACTACCTACTACTACTGCTACTACTACTACTACTACTACTACTACCTATACTACCTACTACTACTACTACTACTACTACCTATACTACCTACTACTACTACTACCTATACTACCTACTACTACTAGTACTACTACTACTACTACTACTACTACTACTACTACTACTACTATGGCAAACTTCATCTCCTCTATGACCTTGCGGGTCTTCAAACCTTCCTCCTCCTTCTCCTCTTCTTTCTTCACATCATCCAAGCTAACATCCTCCACTTCTCCGGGAAGAGCTTCGCCATAGGGGAGATGACTCACAGCCACCTTTCCCTTGATCCTTCTTCGAATCTCATGTGGAGCCAATTCATCTTCGCGACCAATCCAGTTATCATCCTTCGGTGGCTCCTTGAGTTGATGCATGACCATTCGAGTCAGGGCATAGCTTCCGTCCTCCCTTTGAATCCAATCTCCATGGTGAACCCAGGAAGGCGCGACATAGAATGCCTTCTCTTGCGTCGGAAGAAGCTCACGTGCTCTCCAAAATCCTTTCCTGATCGGCACCGGAGCCGTGAAGTTGGGAAGTGCAGGGTTTTTGCCAACCTGCTTCAAGCGAAGTCGCTCATTGATGTTTCAAGCTGCTAGAGGTCATAGGCTGAAAGGGGCATCCGCAGCATGCAGAATTCGCCGGATCTCGGCCTTCATCCATTGAACTGATGCCTCAACACGCCCATTTGATTGGGGCTGATCCCCCGGCGTGTGCGTGTGGAGGATGGTTCTGGACAAGCACCATTTTTCCAGCACCTCTGAGCAAAATTCACTTCCACGGTCTGTATGAATTTGGGTCACTGTGAGCCCATCACGTCTGAGGCGCAAGTATATATCCATGATGGCCTTCAGCACGTCATGTCGGCTTTTGGACGGAAGAGGCGTGTAGAGTCGTGTAGCGACCACCTTTGGAGTTTCTCTTCTTCTCCTTCTTCTGCTTCATCCTCTCCTCTTGATTCCTTCTTTTCATCTTTCTTTTGAGCTTCCACAGCCTTCAGCTGCTCCTGCCAACTCCTTGGCTCTTTGTTCACGCTCTGCTTGACGCTCCCCCCAGACATCGTCCGCATCTTCAATTTCCACCTCCTCTGCCTCAGGATCGTCAATCTCTGGAGCACCTGCTGGAACATCGGGCGGATCCTTCTCCTGAAACTCATTATAAACCTCGCCTGGTCCAAGCCAGGTGAATGCCCCAACGAGCATGTACTTGCCCTTCTTGGCGTTCAAGTCAGTTCCCAAGTGGAAGCGACCAGTCATGTCAAGGCTCAACACACCGACTCTAGGCGGCTCCTTTCCCCTTCTATGGTGTGCATCTTTTGCCGGTGACTGTTGACACACCAAACAGTCCCGGCGGAAAGGGGTGTGTCCGGCAGCAACATGTTCTTGCCATGACAAAGCCCTCATCTTCACAACACCTTTCATGGTGTTGAGCTGAAGAGCTGTGGCGATCTCTTTCATCATCATTGGAGGCCACCTTGATAGCTTCTTTGATTCTTGACACATCTCCTCCTTCGTCTTTCCTTCCACTTCTCGGGGAACTCCTTTACGACCAGGCATCGGGACCGTGATCTTCATTTTTCCACCAATTGTGGTTGGCTTTGTAGCAGCAGCTGCAAATTCAGATTGGTTGAAAGTCTGAGCTTCAAGATTGTAGACCTTGGACAGGTTCTTCCAGATGGGAGTTCTCCAAATTGTGACCACTTCAGGCATGTCGGCCAGGAGAGTGGTCGGATCACACTCCTCTTTCACCTTTCTGACCTCTTGCTGACGATGTACAAAAGGAGAAACTGCAGCATCAAGATGTCATCCAAAACCACTTGATGCCTTTCAGCTTGAGATAGATTCTTCATTCCATGTTCTTCTCCATTCCAAGCTGAGGTCTGGGAATACCCAGTCCCTGAACGTGAAGATGACGCAGCATTGACCGGGTCCTGCATGGTGGCCTGCCGATCCATCCCCTCACCCAACCATGCAACGCAGCTCGTAGAAGAAGAGGATATGCTTTACCATCTGGTGACAAATCTGACGATCGCTTTTGGTGGAGGACATCAATCTCGCACATCAGACGTCGATCTTCCCCCATCTCATGAAATGCTCAGCCAAGAGTGTAGCCAGTGTTGTCACCGGAAAGCAGATGAACCAACATGCCCTTGACTTCCAAAGCCGTCTTTGACGACGATTCCCAAGAGGGATGACATTCTCAGCCGGTGCTTCGATCAGCTGGCTCTTCACCTCCTCAGGAACTCCTGGAAACGCAGGGTGTTCTGCAACAAGCCTTCTCAACCAGGAGACTTCAGAGTCGTTGCAGATCTTGAGACTTTTAATCATCTTTTTGGCTTGCTCTCAATCTGATGAATGAGCTTCATGGCCACATCAGGTTCCAAAACTGGACATCCATCTTCAACTTGAACATCGAGCTTTCCCCATTGAGGGTGATGGACATTCAGGCCCTTTGGACCCCAAGCAACTTCGCATGCCCTCCTGTGGGAGTAAGTGGCATTTAGACCTCTTTGTCCCCCGCCAACGTCAGCTTGACCTTTGGAAGATGGTGCAAATCTTCACCCTTGTGCTGGGCTCTGAGTGGATGAGTGGCACCGGAATCCAAGAGGCCCTTGTTGGTAGCAGAGCAAATCTTGGAGATCCTGAAAGGCCTCATCGCGGCCTTTTTCAAATCATCAAGCTGCTTTTGAAGACTTTGAATTTTCAGCCCAGGGTCCTCTTTTGCAAGTCTTTTCTCCTTGACATCACCTTCGCTCATCGACTTCAGCATCATCCGGCAGACTCTTCATGCTTTCTTCACCTGCATGTTCTGGAGCTTCGGATGGAACTTCGGACTTCTCTGCAGACGAACCCGAAGTCTTTGAATCCTTCTCCAC